ATCAATGAAAAAGTAATGAAATACTAATAATAATTGGCTTTTGCTGGTAATCCTTCTGAGAAATCTGAAAATCTATGAAAAGTAATGAAATCACACATTTAGGTAAAGTAAGATAGGAGGAAAAAAATATATATTTCAGAGTCTATTCTTAGCAGAATAGAGTCTAAAATAGTACAAAAAAACCTCAGCAGGGGTAAGCAACACACACATAAGTAAAGATTTATCAAGAGTACGGTGAAATCTTGAGGGTGCAAATATATATAAGTCTGAGTGTGTTTGCAAGAATTAGACTGTCAACACTGATAGAAGCGCCATTGTCCTTGAGAAGAGAGGTGGAAGTTTTATCAATCAGCTGCATACTCCTATCAGCACACAGCTGGTAGGGGAGTGCTGGGGAAGAGCGTCGTGTTTATATAACATCCAGGAGATATTTTGTCGATAGCCAGTTAGCAGAAGTTGCCAAGGCCACATTGGGGAGCCAGATTTAGAAAAACAATAAATGTTGTGGTTCAGGCAGTTGTGAATTTCCAACTACCTTAAGAGTTTTACTGGTATGTCTCAATTGTGAATCCAAATAGCCAAATTTCTGGTACTTTCCGCAGATCTGGAGCGTACAACTTCTCCAAGATTATATCCTTTAACCTCTGAGTCCAACCGCTGCCAGGCTGCGATTCTGTTCAAGAATCGTGTCCAGCTTGCGATTCTGCTCTCTTAACATTCCAGTCTGAGTGTTGATCGCTCTACAGCCTCCATCTAACATCGCAGGCAGCTTTGGAACGCTTTGAACAGCCGCCCACGTTTTGCGAATCACTCAATAAACCAGGTAACCACCAACTCCAACAAGCAGAAATCCTGTTAGCAAAAGTTCAAATATGTACACATCTTTTACATCCTCCACCGAAATCATAGTCAGGCACACAATCTTCCACTGCTGCCAAGAATCCATTGTGTATCCAGAGATTAACATCCCGTCTGGACAAGAGGGTTCTCTTTTAGTCTTCCCGTCAAAAAAATTTGATCAATTACGTTGAGAGACCAGCTGACCAAATCCATAATTTACAAGTTTGGAGTATATGCAAAGCGAGGCTCTGAGAAAAATACAGACAAAAGCAGAAGCAGGGATCAGCAGGGAGGGAGGGAGAGAAAATGCGTGTCTTCCACCGAGAGCCAGATTGTTCCAACAAACAGATCTCTTTCTATGCGGATTCCAGACGGGACCAGGACAGGAGAAGCACGCGCGTATGTCTCCTTGCTGGCAAGCAGACATGACTCTTCAACTTGAGTCCAGAAGTAACTACAATCACATGCAACAAAGTAAGTAATTTGCTGTTCGAGTATCCGATATTCATTCATATAAAGGGTGCAATGAGACAAGCGTGACTTGACTTTTTTTCTGAGGCCTACAGAAGCAGCCCTAATTAAAACAGATTTCCCCTACGGCATGGAAAAAAAGGCTGGGACCGCATTGCATGCCTTCCTGCGTCCATGTCCAGGTAGAGAGAGCTATCCCGCCGCATCACGGCCACTCAGGGAGCCGAAAGTGCCTTTGTCGTACGGTTCTGTCGGGCCAGCTAAAAGGCCTTCCCCTCAGCCATGGAGTTCAGCTGCAAGCTAACCTTTTGTTTACCCACATGTGGATGTTTTCATCAATGGCCGGACAACTTCTCCTCAGCACAGTTCATGTAAGAGGTAGTGTTTGGGCAGAGAAGATGAGTTTAGAGTTAAATGATCTAAATGATGTCCATTTCATGACGTTTGGTTTTTGTTTGTGTTGTGTTTTTAAGTTTATTCAAAGGGTGGTTTTTAAACACAGAAGATCAGACATCACGCGTCGTCCACGCTTATGCATTTCAACCCTTTTATTAGTGGTATTTTAAAGGTATGTATTTGATTCTGATGACAAGGTATAAGCTTCTTTTGTTAGCTCCAATCGCTAACGGCAAAGAACACGTCCTCGCCCACTTTATAAGTCAGCTGAAGATCATTTTCCCAGAAAGGTTGTTGGTCCTCATTTAAAATATTTCCTTAACTATTATTTTAAACATTTCTAAATAATATTTCCCTAAATATTATTTTACTAAATGTGATAACTAATTAAACACCATTAAGACTCATTTATCCAAAAAGTTTTGGTTTTTATTCAACATAATATTTCCTTAAATATTATTTTAACAAATAAAGGCGGCTAATTAAACACCGCTGAGAATTAGTCATCCAAAAGGTTGGTTTTATTCAGCAAATCATTCTTTAAAATGTTATTTTATTAAAATAATGTATCTGATCTTGCATTGTGAATGGTAATATTGCATCACTCTTTAGGCCATGGTTTTCAACCATCTTTGATTCACTTGTTTATATTGTACATAGCCCATTAGTCTTCCTTATTCTTTCATTTTGTTTGGTAGTTTAGTTGGATTGTTTTAGGATAGTAAAGAGTTTGTTGATTGAAATATGTTTGACTTTGAGTTGACTTATTTTTGTTAATAAATTCTTGTATTTTTATTGTGTGAATTCATTCTGTGTGTGTGCAGCGTTTTGCTGTTCAAAATTGCCAGAGCTTGGCTCATCCCTTTCAATAATGTCCTAATATCACCGCCTTATTGGGCTGGTATTCACAGGACAACCCTTAACAGACTGAAACATTATTTAATAACATATTAAAGTATTAATATTAAATAATATATTCATTCATCTTCTATACCGCTTATTCCATAGTGGGTCACGGGGGAGCTGGTGCCTATCTCCAATAGTCTACGGAGGAGAGGCAGGGTACACCCTGGACACGGTCACCAATCCATCGCAGGGGAACACAGAGACATACAACCACGCACACACCCATTCACACCTAAGGGCAATTTAGAGGGACTAAACATGACCTAACAGTCATGTTTTTGGACTGTGGGAGGAATCCGGAGTACCCAGCAAGAACCCACGCATGCACGGATAGAACATGCAAACTCCTTGCAGAAAGACCCCCGGCTGGGAGTCAAACTCAGGACCTTCTTGCTGTAAGCCAACAGTGCTACCAACTGCGCCACCGTGCAGCCTTAAATAATATATTTATATTCATAATCACAATAATCCTAACCACTTTGGTGAGTTTTTTAACATTTAGAATATCGTGAATATCGTTTCTCATGCATTTCAGAAAGTGAAACTCATATATAGATTCATTACACCTTTACTGTATGTCTCCTAATGGTAATTATTATGGCTTACTGGTAATGAACCCAAAATTCAGTGTCTTAGAAAATTAGAATAGTACATCAGATCAATAAAAAGGGACATTTTAAACATTAGTGTCAGGCCTCTGAAAAGTATGATAATTTTATACACTCATTTCTTGGTTGGGCTTTCTTTTGCAATCACTGCATCAGTACGGCATTGCATGGAGGTGATCACAGGCATCATGTAGCCCTTGAAAGACCTGTTTTTAATAAAAAGCAAATCTCATGACCTCTACCTCAAAACTGAAAATGGGTTGTTACTGAGTATTTCAGCAGGAAACAGGTAATGTTCCAAAGCATGTGGGCAAATCAACACGGAAATGGCTTACTAAAGATAAAAATCAGCCTTCTTCAGTGACCACCACTGTCCATAGACCTAAGTCCTTTAGAAAAACCGTGGAGTTAGCTAGAGAAAAGAGAGGACCCAGGACTCCGAATGATGTAGAGAGATCCATCTTTCTATTCGCTCCAATGTTGTAACACGTAGACAAAGACGATTTGTCTAAAATTGTGTGATTATGCTGCAATGATAGATACATTTATTTAAAGACTTTTTACAGATCTTTACCGTGGGGGGCCAATAAGTGTGGGGGTTTGATAGTGTGTAAGTGTTTTTGGAAAATATCAACATTCTGAAGTCATAACTATATCTATAACTGGCTATAACTGGATCAATTCAATCCAATAATATTACAAAGTTCTACATTTGTTATAAAGCTGATAAGTATGATAAAAATGTGACAGCTGCTGATGGAGGGATAAGGGATTTCAGGTGAAAATGTGTAGTCAGGACTGGAGGAGAATGAGACATGACTGCTATTAAAATTGAATAATCTTTGAGAGCTGTGAGATTTTCCTGGAAACACAAGGCTAATGTCAGGGTTGCATGGGATCACCGCTAACATATGCATGACAGCGACCGTGCTGAGATGTTTGTTAATTTCCCCTCATTTTAAAAATTCCATTTTATTTGTACTCATTGATTTGGTGTGAAGATGGGAATAGCCGGCTATCAGAGCTGCAGGAATAAAATGCTGGCACTGACCTGTGCATAGATAATTCACCATGAAAGACAATCAATAAATAACAAACACGCGCTAATCAGCCGAGGAGCTGACAGAATGACATTCCATTATCCCCCTCTGGCCCTCTGCACTTGGAACAGCCAAATCTCAGAGGGCCAGGTCTCCCCAACCCACACTTCCTCAGCAAAGCCCATCCAGTCCTGGTTGTCACATCACAACAAACAAACACACATATACATGGATATTTTAACCATACACCTACAATATGCCTCTGCAAGCATCTGCTTTAAGAATATGCTTTAATAACATATACAGGGTGTAGTCATTAAATTACGATAACCTCCAAAAGGTGGGCCTTTTAATTTGTCAGTAATCTGATTCAAAAAGTGAAACATGTCATAGATTCATTACACATAGAATGACATATCTAAATAGTGTATTCTTTCTTATTCTGATTATTAGCCTTACAGCCAATGAAAACCCCACAATTCTCTAAAAATCTAAATGTTTCATGAGGCCAAAAAAATATTATTAATACAGGAATATTGGCCTACTGAAAAGTGCGACCATGTACTGTACAGATTATCCACGTAATACTTGATCAAGCGTCCTTTTGCATGAATTGCTTCATCAATGCGGCCTGGCATAGAAGTGATCAGGTTGTGGCTTTGCTAAAGTGTTAATTAAACCCAGGTTGATTTAATAGTCGCCTTTTAAGCATTATGATACCATGGTCATTGAAGCAAGTATTGGTACTTTTGGCAGTGTAGGCAGGTAAATGCAAGAAAATTAAATCCACATAACTTAAGTTGTCAGCAGAGGGAAGCATGACGTGCTCTAAAGAGTTGTAGTAGACAGCTTCGCTGACCTTAGTTTTGATAGAACACAGTGGACCAACACCGGCAGATGACATGGCTACCTAAATCATCACTCACTCTGAAAGTTTACACTGGACCTAAGGCAACTTGGATTATGTGACTCAAATCATAAGAGTCCACCAGAATCTGGGACCTCAATTTCTGAATGAAATGCAAACATTACTTTTATCTGAAAATAGGACTTCTGACAATTGGGCAACACTGCTGTCCTTTTTCTCCTTAGCCCAGACTGACACTGAATATCTCTGGTTCAGGAGGTCTTAACAATAGAAAAGAAACACATGTAGCCCATATCCTTTATATGTCTTAGTCTGGAGGCTATTAGAGCACTTAGACCTTAAAGTCCACAATGTGAATCTCTCCAAATTCTTGTATTGTCTTTGTTTTACAGCCTCTCAAGGCTGCAGTTATCCCTTTTGCTTGAAAATCTGTTTTTTAAGACACTTTTTCCTTCTACTTATACTTCCGATATTATGCACTGATACAACCCTCTGTGAACGACCAGTTCTTTTTATTAGCAATGACCTAAAAAAAGGAGTTTACATTTGAGATTCACTGGTAGTGTACTCAATTGTATGAACAATAATTAAACACAATATTCCATAGGGCATAACAAGCCTCTCTGTTAATAATAAAAGTATCTGGTTACTAAAACATTTGATTTCAATGAAGACCAGGCAACCCAAATCTTTGCTTTGTATATTACAGTCTGATAAAACTCAGCAAGCACTTGCTTTGGTTATGAGCATCCTTAAGTCAGCATGAATAGAAAGTACTCATTGATCATCTCTCTGCTGACTGATTTCCTCACATATTAGATATTGGCTATTGGGTCCTATTGAATTTTACCTGGAGATTGTCGCTGAGTGGCATGAGGAGTAATAGCTAAAGGGTTATGTCTCTCTATGCAGATATGATGTATGGGCTTAAATGACTGAATGTTCCTCCATGGGAGGAACAAAAAGGACTGAACAGCACACAGAGAACAAAAGAGACTGTTAAAAACTTTAAATCCCAGAATGCACAGTTCTCCTATTCTAATGAACAACTCCCATATGGAGGAGTTTTACAGCTGGAATCCCTGTGATGTCATAGAGGTACAAGACTCAGTGTTCTGCCCCCTTGTGATCATCCTGATTTTGCTGGTCAAGCAAAAGACAACATATTCAAAGAAACCTTGGATCCAGAATAAAGTACGATCTGCTGTGTGTATAGTCAGTGACCATTACCTAACCAAAAATAAGATTAACTGCCTTAACCTTTCTTTTTGAGCTGCTGCAGAAAAGCATCTGAGCTTAAGATTCCCCAAGAAGAGATGGGTTCCCTGATTAAGCGGTTTTAGCCCACTGCTTGAAGAAAACAGCATTAAAACTGCAGCTCTGCACGCTTTCTGCGTGCGCTAGCCCAAACAGATACTTGCCCCAGCAGCCATGTCTGCTCTGTTCGTCGCGAACACACAACCCACTGTCCCTGTCAGACTTCACCTATCAGGTTCACGTTAGAGGTTGAGTCTGGGCAGAGGTGACTAATGTTAACATTTGTTTGTAAAGTTGAAGACTGGTAAAGAGTCACTTTACTTCTTCAACATAAGCTGTTTTATCGGTTTTCCCTTCATCTCCTCTAACTAACCTACAATAAATATGTCTGCATAGTCCTTAAAAATGTGTTGTGTCTCTTTATGCCTACTGCTGAAGCTGAAGCTTTGCTAATGCTAATGCTAAAGCCACAAGTAGTTCTTTTGTGTTTATAACACAACTTGCACTGCTATACTCAACTCTCATACACACAATCTTTTCATTAATGGTATTTAAAAGTACATCTGGATTGATCTCTAGTTCAGTACATTAATTAAGAAAATTTTTATTAAAACAATGTTTTTTCCATTCTGTTTTGCATTGTGAATTGGTTTGTTCAACACAAAACAATAGTTGTTCTTAATTGGTTTCAAAGCTAATTTCTTGATAATGAGGTGGTGCCCCGACTTGGTAATTTTGATCAAAATTACTAACTTTGTTAATAGTTGCCTTTGGCACTTAATAATAGTTATTCATAACCAAACCAAACCTATTGTTGCACAACTGTTCTTTTGATCAAATGTTTAACTAAGTACATTTATTGGAACATTCTGTTTTCATTGTTGTGGTACATTTTTGTGACTTTTTTTTAATTTTATACAACTTTATATGTCCAATACACAATTGTTATAGAGTGAAATATTTGAGATGAGACATTCACTCAATAAAAAAGCAACCTTTTACTTTTAGTATACAACTTATTAGAAGAAAGGTTTCACAATGTTTTGGCTTCTAAAGAAGTAACAATCAATGTATTTGTTTTCTATATTTTAAACACATATATTAAAACTAAATTTTGTTTCTCTTGAATGATTATAAACTATGAAAATATCTTGGTTTAGATCCGATTAGGGCATTTTATGGGCCGCGGGCCACATCTGGCCCTGTAGTTGTCCTCGACTGGCCCCACTGAAAACTGTAAATCAAACCTTTTTATTTTAGTGCCAATCTGAATATGCTGTTTTTATTTTGAATAACTGACTATTATTTTGAAAGATATGTTCTTTGGTTTCAGTACAAACATATTATAAATGGTTAGCAGTTCAAACAGCATTTGGGAGGGGAGCAGCACCTGGCACAGCATTTGGCACCAATCCAGCAGGAGGTCTTGCCAAAAGTTCTCATGCTGCATTAGGATAGTAATGTCTGTACACCAGACTACAATCCGTCTCCATGGAAGCCAATTCTTGTACTAGCTGATGGGTGGTGGAATTCTCCATTTCTGGTAAGAATTCAATAAAGCATCAAAGCATCAGGATATACTGTGGGTTTTGGCAGCATATTTAGCTATATCAATATCGGATATCAATATCGGCCTGAATTTTCATATCGGTGCATCC